TGCCTTTTAAGTCCTTTTTTGGGCTGTCCTGCACGACTCTATTTTCTGTGGTATTTAAAATCCTGTTTAATCCATGCATGGAGGTCTTAACTTTATTTTTTTTTTCCATTTATTTTTATTAGTTGGAGGCTAATTACTTTACAATATTGTAGTGGTTTTTGTCATACATTGACATGAATCAGCCATGGATATACATGTGTTCCCCATTCCGATCCCCCCTCCCACCTCCCTCTCCACCCGATCCCTCTAGGTCTTCCCAGTGCACCAGGCCCGAGCACTTGTCTCATGCATCCAGCCTGGGCTGGTGATCTGTTTCACCCTAGATAATATACATGTTTCGATGCTGTTCTCTTGAAACATCCCACCCTCGCCTTCTCCCACAGAGTCCAAAAGTCTGTTCTGTACATCTGTGTCTCTTTTTCTGTTTTGCATATAGGGTTATCAGTACCATCTTTCTAAATTCCATATATATGTGTTAGTATACTGTAATGGTCTTTATCTTTCTGGCTTACTTCACTCTGTATAATGGGCTCCAGTTTCATCCATCTCATTAGAACTGATTCAAATGAATTCTTTTTAATGGCTGAGTAATATTCCATGGTGTATATGTACCACAGCTTCCTCATCCATTCGTCTGCTGATGGGCATCTAGGTTGCTTCCATGTCCTGGCTATTATAAACAGTACTGCGATGAACATTGAGGTGAACGTGTCTCTTTCAGATCTGGTTTCCTCGGTGTGTATGCCCAGAAGTGGGATTGCTGGGTCATATGGCAGTTCTATTTCCAGTTTTTTAAGGAATCTCCACACTGTTTTCCATAGCGGCTGTACTAGTTTGCATTCCCCCTAACAGTGTAAGAGGGTTCCCTTTTCTCCACACCCTCTTCAGCATTTATTGCTTGTAGACTTTCGGACAGCAGCCATCCTGACTGGCGTGTAGTGGTACCTCACTGTGGTTTTGATTTGCATTTCTCTGATAATGAGTTATGTTGAGCATCTTTTCATGTGTTTGTTAGCCATCTGTATGTCTTCTTTGGAGAAATGTCTGTTCAGTTCTTTGGCCCATTTTCTGATTGGGTCATTTATTTTTCTGGAGTTGAGCTGCAGGAGTTGCTTGTCTATTTTTGAGATTAATCCTTTGTCTGTTGCTTCGTTTGCTATTATTTTCTCCCATTCTGAGGGCTGTCTTTTCACCTTGCTTATAGTTTCCTTTGTTGTGCAAAAGCTTTTCAGTTTAATTAGGTCCCATTTGTTTATTTTTGCTTTTATTTCCAATATTCTGGGAGGTGGGTCATAGAGGATCCTGCGGTGATTTATGTTGGAGAGTGTTTTGCCTATGTTCTCCTCTAGGAGTTTGATAGTTTCTGGTCTTACATTTAGATCTTTAATCCACTTTGAGTTTATTTTTGTGTATGGTGTTAGAAAGTGTTCTAGTTTCATTCTTTTACAGGTGGTTGACCAGTTTTCCCAGCACCACTTGTTAAAGAGATTGTCTTTTCTCCATTGTATTTTCTTGCCTCCTTTGTCAAAGATAAGGTGTTCATAGGTGCGTGGATTTATCTCTGGGTTTTCTATGTTGTTCCATTGATCTATATTTCTGTCTTTGTGCCAGTACCATACTGTCTTGATGACTGTGGCTTCGTAGTAGAGCCTGAAGTCAGGCAGGTTGATTCCTCCAGTTCCATTCTTCTTTCTCAAGATTACTTTGGCTATTCGAGGTTTTTTGTATTTCCATACACATAGGTCTTAACTTTAATCACTGTGTTTCTTTTTAAAGTTTTAATTGCTTTGTTTTCAAATCTTCTTGGTTATTTTTTACAATCTCGTCCTTGACCGTATTTTTAAGCCTTTGTTTTATGACTTCTAAAGTATTAAGCATTATTATTTAATGTGTTATGTTTGCTTTCAGTATGTGAGGTCTTCAGTTTGGGGTTTTGCTATTACTTCTGATAGCTCTTACTCACTTACTCATGATGCTGTGTATCCATTTATATTTTACTGCTTTAACTATGAGCTCACATTCCATGTGTGTATGTGTGTGTGTGTGGAGTATACTCATATATGGGTTGATAATGCATTTCCTTAGAGAAGATTACTGCTCTAGTCACTTTGGGGTGATTCAACCTGGAATCTCTTTTTTTAATTAAATTTTTGCTGAGGTTTTTTTAAAGTATACTGGTAGTATAAACTTGGATGATAAATCCTGGTACCAGCATCATGACACAGAGAATTCTTTGCATCTATTTGTATATGGTAGATTTGTTTTCCCTTCTTTTCATCCTTTTCCACTCTGTCTTTCTACTTGTCTCTCTCAATTCATCCTTACCCTGAATATATAAGTTTTATGCAGTGTTCTTCTACTTGAATCTTATTTTGTGGAAACCCTAGGCTACATGTATCTTCTGCCCCCCACGCAGTTAACAGATATAGAAGTTCAAAATTTTAATATCTGGCAGAAATTATTAGAGTGAAATTGACTTTGGAAGTTGGTAACCTCCAGAATTCTTGCAATACATTTGGTTTTACACTCTATTGTTTTCTTATTTTTAAGTCAGTTTAGTGGTAACTTTCTCTTTTTTTTTTTCAAGGTACTAAAACTATTTGTCTATGATTTTATTTAGATATTATTTAATACTGAGGCTATTTTCTTTTTTAACTACTTACAAATCCTTGTGCAAAGATATTTGCAGGTTAAATTTCTTGCCCTGGCATGAAGGGACAATTATGGATTCCATAACATTTTCACAGGTATTGTGAAGTTGCCTCCTAAGAAGTTCTACTATGGAAGAGAATAGTCAGGAATGGACCTACATATATGCAAAAGTTTTGATGAGCTTGGTAGTGTAAAATCTATAATTTTTATCTTTAAAAACTATAAACAAGGTTTTTTAAAAGACAAGGTAACAAACTGAAAGTGTTTGCAATAAATATGACAAAGAACTGATTTCTTAAGTTTCCAAAGAGATTTTATTTGAGGAAAATATCTAGCAACAAAGTTCTAGGGAAAACAGATAAGTAGCAACTTCTTTGTTTGTGGTTAAAATATGAAAGAAATAGAGTTAACTATTTTTTTTATAAACTTAAGGTAAAAATTTTATTTGAATACTAAGCTATCTTTCATGTGTTACCAGAGCTATTTTTTTAAAACTTATTTTTAATTGGAGGATAATCAGTTTGCAGTGTTGTGTTGGTTTCTGCTATACAACAACATGAGTCAGCCATAGGTACACTGATGTCCCCTCCCTTGGACCTCCCTCCTACCCCCGACCCCATCGCGCCCTCTAGGTTATCACAGAGTGCTGGGGTTGAGCTCCCTGCGTTACCCTGCAGCTGCCCACTAGCTGTCTGTTTTACATATGGTAATGTACATGAAGAGCTAAGTATTTTAAATGCCAGTTCCTGTTTAATTCTAGCAAAACTCTATGCTGTGGGTATTATTATTATTATTCCCATTCTGTGGAGAAAAAGTTATTGTTCAGATTGAAAGACTTTCCTGTCTTTCTCAGCTTTTCAGAGATAGAGCCTGAACTGAAATCCATGCCAGTTTACTTGTAAATTTTCTTAGGTACTTTCTTAAATAGCTGCCCCTGGCAAGGTTATAAGCTGAATATCACTGAGAATCAAAATGACCAACAATCATATTAAAATGTGTTCAACCTTGCTTATAATTTAAAGACATGAGATAGCAAACACACACACACATGCATATGTAGTATTGTATCTCCCCATAGGCAATCTTTAACAAGAGATTGAGGCGTGAGTTGATTTCTCCTATATTTTTCTATTTTTTATTGAGTATAGTTAATTTACAATGTTATGCATGCATATATATGTCTGTATATATATGGATTTTTTCAGATTCTTCTCCATTATAGGTTAATATACTGAGTATACTTCCCTGTGCTATATAGTAAGTCTTTGTTTCCTTGTTTTATTTATAGTATTTTGTATATGTTAATCCCCAAATCCTTACTTCAGCCTTGATTTGCTCATCTGTAAGAGGGAGATAATCCTTACTTGAAAGAATTATTGTTAAGCATTACAATCTCTCTCTGTGTGTATATATATATATATATCTTAGGACAGTGGAACCTACTAAGTGCCCAATAACTATTATAAGCTGCTATGCCCAAATCCCCTGATATGCCCCCCCCCAAAAAAAGACAGCAGAAATAAATCTTTCATCTCTTTTATTCCTAGCCCAGGGCAAAGGGTCAATAGACAGACACATTAAGTGAAGATGCCTGGAAGAATACTCTAGACACTCATGAGCTCTCATCAAGGCACTGCGTTTAATGACTACTTTCTAGGATTCTGCAAGGATTTCCACAGTACATTCAGTCCCACATCTCATATTCTAGATCTCAAGTCAAAACAGGCAATAGACAGGACAAAAGGAGCCAGGGTCCCATGAAAATGATATGCGTCAACGTTCCCTGTGTTATCGGTGGGTTGGTGGTGTAATGGTTTATAGCCAGAAGCTCCATAGCCCATTTCAGGGCATCATTACCCTTCTGGAGTCAACGAGTCTGAAAATTCTAAATATAAGTTATTAGAAAAACACAAGAGCACTGTAATAATAGCCTCCTGTCTCTAAATATTTACTGGCAAGCATGTGTTAATTGAGAGAGAAATATTGACTTTGAAGTGACCTAACTCACCTTTCATTTTGAAGCTCTGCATTCACAGAGCCACATGACAATATTGCAGTGTTTAATCACTTTTGAGAGTCAGAGTTTTCTCTTAAGTACTGTCAGTTCCAGGAAGGCAGAGTCACCAAGATCCAGATGACCTGAATGGCAATTGGTCTGTGACCTTCAACTCAAAACTGTTTTCCAGTGTCCAATCATTCTGGCAGACTTTTATATCCCAGTTTTGAGAAGCAACTTCTCCAATAGACCTTTTTTCATGTGTATAAGTGAGAAATAAAAACATGGCAAAATGAATCTACTGCTTTTCTTTAGCATCAGAGAAAATGACATGTATGTGGTTTGTCTACAGCACATTTAACTGGACGGTCCCATTCCTTTCATTCCTGGCCTGTTTGATACTGGCAGTTGCCACCATCACACTGTATTTCATTCCACTCCGGTACATCATTTTAATCTGGGGTAAGTTTGGCACGGTCCTTTTGCTAGCAATCAATTCCAGGTAAGAACCAATTACTCATTTTTAAGTGCAGCTATAAACTTTAAATGTGCTTTTGTTGGCAATTAAACGAGATTAAGAAAAGCATTTGGGGGACAAAAACTTCCAGGACCTCCCTGAAAAGGCCAGTGGCATGAACGGTCAGCATAGATACTTATAGGCCTCTTGCATAATTGCAATCAAATAAAAATGTGATTGTGCATGCTATTTCCCTTTGGGCTTCCAGAGTCATAAATACTCCTGAATAATATACTGTTGTGGCCCAATAACTTTCAGGAAATGCTGTTATTCAAACAGCAAACACCTGCATCTTGCCCTGTATGTTATATAAAAGTAGATCTAGCCACTGCTAGGCTGCTCCTGACATTTCATCTCCCCTGGAAGGAAGAAAATAACCTAACCCAATATTTAAAACCAGAAGCAGTGAGCTGAAAAGGAGTGACCCACAGTGACCACCTAACCAGTGCCTCACAGGAAAGGGAAAGGTATTATTTACCAGGGGAAATGGTAAGCCTGTATAAAGTTCAGCTGCTTTTTAAAGACTAGAAACAAAAATGGCACGCTGGAAATAAATTTCAGGACTTGACTTACTACTCAAGCTTGGAAACTGGAAAAATTACAAGCAGCTTTGTGAATATTTGTGTCTGTTGCTGAGTGGGCACTGGGTTGATATAAGGAGAATGCATTGCAGTTAATTAACTAAGTAGTTACCCCTCTTCTGGAAGAATCTCTCACTTCTGGTTTTCCATGGCTTGGCTCCTGTGACCACTTCTCAGTTCTTAACCATAGTCATCTCTAGGGATCTGCAGGTGTTAAAAGGTTCAGGGAAGCTACAGATACGTGTGTTGAGGTGCATTCCTCTTTAAGCAAAAGCTGAAAGCCTGAAATGCTGGGGTGAGGGGGAGCTATAAAATATTTCTAAAACCACTAATTGTAGATAGACCATTTCCAAAGAGAACCCACAAAGGTAGAATCCTGCTGATGAGAAAGGCCAAACCTGGACATGCAGAAATGGGAAAAGTCATAGGAAAAATAGAGTAACTCATAACATTTCAGAAGTAGAGCATAATCCCTTCATTCTCTGTGAATGAAAATTCTCTGTGAGTGAAAATTCTATCACATAAAGTTTCTCTCCTTTGTAACAAGCCCAAGAAAAGGAAAAGATTTTCTAACTTCCTCTTCAGGGGTCCATTTTAATACTAGGCGATGCTCACTATTTGAGAAAGATCTCATATCCATGCTTAGTTTTCGTTCCTCTGTTTTAGCACATTGGCCCATATTTGACCCTTAGGAAAGGGAACATGGAGCTTTTCAGGGGCCCATTGATTAAGAAGGAATATGTATTTTATAAGAAGCATTTTTCTTGAATACTCATATACTGAATGTTATCTGTATAGACTGAATAATCTCATTCTTTCTTGCTTTTTTTGTACTAGTTTCTCAGTCCATTTACTCTCCACATTTAAAACAAAGATCTTGAAACTCTTTTTGATCTGTCCCTAATGAGAATTCGATCCAAAATTACAGTCATTTGGCCAGTGTTTTCCTCATTTTTAAGATGATGTAAGACGATGGTCTTTAAGATGATGGTCAGCTTGGTAAACACCATTGCCCATTATTTCTTCATCCTTCTGGTAGAGAATGCTTTCCTGCACCTCACCCTAGAAGAAGAAGACTATACTGTATTTCTTCCTTAGGTTGTCCATTTCGGGATTCCAATCCCTCTTTCAATTTACTCCTAACCCCTTTGACCTCTAGTTTTCTCCTCCAAGTTCTTGACAGCTTTCAACATCAACTTTTTGCATCTACTTAATGAGACATTGTTCTATTTATTGTTCAGCTTATGGATGAAATTATGAAATAGCATGAAGTTTGTGATGCTCTCCTGGACTGAAAGTAATCCTTTGAGCTTTATATTGTCTCATTCGTTAGTTTTAGATTCTAGACAGAGGTTTATAGTTTATTGATGAGTTTACCGTAGATAATGTAGTCAAAAGCCGTGACCATCACATCATCTCTTGCCTCTTCTCATTATCTAAAACCTGCTGTACTATCATGGAATATATTCTGCCCTCCTATTAGGACATTATTTTGCAAGACAAGTTAGTTATTAGCTAGCACAGACCCAGGGCTTTCCTTTGCACATGTCTTACATGATCATATTCTTGGCAGAGAATTTAGCGTGTAGAAGAAAACTTTATATGTCTTGAATTTCTGTTGTTCCCTTTAATCTTATTAAGGCTCAGAAGACTATTTCTTTATTTTTTTCAGGATGGAAATGAAAAAAAAATTATGTTCATTGTCAAACTGTTTGTAGTAGTAAATTAATTTAAAATAATCAAAAATGTTCAATAGTAGAGAAATGATTTAAGCACATTATGGTAAATTTACCCAAGGTACACAGTAAAAATTATTTTTGGGGGGAAAATGATTATATGATGATATTAAATTATATTACATTATGATGTATTTTTATGATACATTTACATTATGATTTTTGTTGTTTAGTCAATAAGTTATGTGTCTGACTCTTTTGCAACCCCGTGGACTGTAGCGTGCCTGGCTCCTCTGTCCTTGGGATTTCCCAGGCAAGAATACTAGAGTTGGTAACTAACCATTCCCTTCTCCAGGGGATCTTCCTGACCCAGGGATCAAACTAGCGTCTCCTGGATTGGCAGACAGATTCTTTAACTCTGAGCCACCAAGGAAGCCTATATAATGATATTACATTGTTTTTAATAAGGATATTTTGTATCCATGTATAGTGTGATCACAAATATGTTGAATGTACCTATATTATATAATATACATGTTTGTATTTATTTCGACATTCATTGTGAGCAGCCCACTTAATACGAGGCAAGACCTTTGACTCTTTGAATATGATTCATGTTTTAAATGCACAGTTGAAGGATTACAAAAAAAGAAAGACTTTCTTATTCTAAGTTACTAACTCATTTTCACTGAGCCCTAAAATTGGTAGATAAAAATCTTCAAAATTTTTGTTCACTGTTTTTAACCTTTTGGAACAAAATTATTTAACTCTATGTTCCTCCAGAGTTACATACATATTCCATTCTATTTCTGTATTCTTTACATCCAAATAACATTTTTATATAAATATTTCTTAAGTAGCACAATTATTTAACATAAACCTATGAAAATAGCCTAATTTCATGATGACCATGGGATATATTCCTTGATTCACCAACTTCACTGTAAGGTTTTAAAGGGCAAGATACTTTCTGTCCTCTTTCCCATGTAATTCCTAGTGAAGGTACACAAAGGTAATAGATCTTTGATGAGTACTTTGCAAATATTTTATGAGTGGATAAGTCTGCAAGTTTAATACCTATGATCTCATGGATGACATTTTTTTGAGCCTGCCACCTCTCTTATTTGGCAGTATAGTTTTTGAAAATTAAAAGTAGTTTTAGAGGGATATCTAGAATTTTCTCTAGGAAACTGTAAATTTTCGGTACTGAATTTCAGTAATTTATTTGTTGTATGTATTTCTAGAAGGCAAGGCACCTTTGAGGATTAGATCCCATGTAGGTTTTCTGTATCTTTTGGAAGGTTTCCCATATTCCTTCCATTCTGTTCTTCATCATAGATGCTCTAAATATAGTTTTCAGTTCTGATCTGAGCCACTTCAGGTTTCCTCATGTAGATTAAGAACTCCCCAAGCCAGATTTTGAGCATCTTAAAAGAAATTATGACTTATTTAACTCTGTGTCTCCTTTTGATAGCACAATGATCTTACATGTAAGACTCTGAGAGTCTGACACAGGAGCATGCAGAGACCCTCTGCCCCACCTCACCCCCCCACCCCCACCGGCATGCTGCAGTCAGGTCACATGCCGGCCACTCATACAAGGTTGTATGTGACTCAGTTCCCGCGGTTATTCCCTGCTGACCGCACGTGCAAAGCAGCCATGCAGTTCTTCCTCTCATTCTCCTTTTTTTTTTGGTTTTTTTTTTTAAACTGGAGGGATCTTTCCAATCTACTGATCTATTCTATGATCATTAAATGATAATGTTTTTCCCACATGTTAATCCCTGGATTTAAATTCCACTTTCTTTGTCTAAAAGAAAACAGCATAAAAATTCACAGCATATATGCTCTATTTGTATTGTTTAGAGTAAAAGAATCTAAAGGTACCTGCTACGGGAGAAAGACACAACTTCCAAACTGGGTGTGTGATAGCATGCTGCCAGTGTAAATACTCTGCCATCACCACCTTCTTTATTTTCGTGGCTTATTGACATATACCATAATGATGGTAGCCCTCTTCCTTGTGGTGAAACTCCAGATTTTAGAATGCTTTGTGATTCTCCTTTCAACCCATGGAGCTATGTAAAGCAGGGCTCTATTATTCAAAATTTAATGTAAGAAATCTAAGACACAGATTAAGTAAAGTGTATGAAACCACGCAGCTAATAATACACGGTGAAGCCAGACTGAGACCCAGCTACGTCTGTCCCCACACCCTTCCTACTTGCCCCGTTGCTCTTCAGAGACAACCAAGCAATCTCTGCTGCCGTGCTGACACTCACTTTCACACAGTAGACAATACGGTAGAATTACTGACATTTGAGCCTGTGACACCTTAAAAAGATAAGGTGTGGTTTTGTAGCATGCAGTCTGAGTTCCGTATAATTTTCAGCCTAATGAAGTTTTTCAAACAGAGACTGTCGAAGTGCTTTGTGGACTTCCTTCTGCCCTTGTTGGTGCATTTGAGCTACTGGGCAGGTTTATAATCTTCTCAGTGACTAAGAATGCAGTGTTTTGATCAGCAGTGATATTATCCCTGCCTGACTGTTCATTGTAAAGACTCCAGATGCTCACACTATATATAATTAACAATAGAAGATATATCTCTTCTCAATACGTCTTTGTCTCCCTTCGTCATTTTGCCTTGTCTGTTTTCTTTTGCCAAGAAGCCCATGCTACAATTAAATGTCTTTAGAATAACACAGTGGAGAGTGTTTTAAAGGAACAGTGGGGGAAATTTTAGCTAGAAACATGAAGCTGGCTGTGGGGGCAGAGAAAAAGGGAAGGCACAGAGAGGCTTTGACTTGAGAAAAAGGGGGTTATTTGCAGGAAGTCTTCCCCAGCCCAGTCAACAAGCCACCCTTGACTTAGGAACATGTCTGGCTTCCATTTGCCAAGTGGATGTAAATCTGACCCTCTTAAAGAAACCACCAGGACTTTGGCATTGTGTCAGGTATAGTGGCACGCAGAAAGTCCAGTTCTTAGATGAAAGTGAAGTAATATTTAATGAAAGAAGAAAAATATCAAACCTTTTCTGTGTTGTGGACTGTTGAATAGGTACATCTTACCTTGACTTGGGCATCAGCGCTAGTGGGAGAACACACAGTGAGCACTCAGCATTGTGGGGGTTGACGAGGACCTAGTTATGGTCCGTGATAAGCAAGCGCTCTGTAGCCAGACTTCAGGAGGCCACCTTGTCTTTCTGCTTCTAAAACAAAGCACGAAATGCAGTTGACATTTGGTGAACAGATCACAGTTTGTGAGCTCTGGCTATATAGTCACAGCCCTGCCCCTCAAAAGAGCTTTGAGGAACAGAATAGAAGACCAAGCTGGTGGAGAGGTGCCTCCCTCTGGGGAGGGAACTCTGGGCAGAGCTTGTCTTGGATGCGCCCATGTGCCCCTAACAAGGACAGCTTAATCGTCTCAGTTCAGTTGCTCAGTCGTGTCCGACTCCTTGCGACCCCATGGACCGCAGCACACCAGGCCTCCCTGTCCATCACCAACTCCCGGGGTTTACCCAAACTCATGTCCATTGAGTCGGTGATTTAAATGTCTCACCCCCTTCTAATTACCGATGTCCTGAATCAGCACGACTCCATGGCCTAGCCAAACCCACACACCAGCGCTGTAGTCCATAAATTAAGCTAGCAACCAGAGTAAGATAATTTTCCAATAATAACTTTTCACAGTTTTCTGCAGCATCAAAGTACGACCAACATTCAAGTTCTGTTCTGCAGCGAGAGAAGGAAAACCTGTGAAAATGAGTTGGAAGGGGGGAGATAGATTTCTTACGGGTTCTTTTTAACAACAACAACAAAAAAAACAGCTCCCACCCTCCAGCTCCCACTGCTGCCTTTGGTCCTCAGTTCCCAAGCAGAGACTTGTTTGGGCTAATGAAGGCCTTTTCCCATCTGGGACATTCGTTTTCCTAGGCGAGGAGGCTGTTAATCAGCGTCGTCCAAAAAAACCAATGAGATCCACAGTTTTAGTGTGTGTTTCTGCCACCCTGCTGCTGGGACTCTAATGGGATTTTCACAGCTGAGGAAGGCACAGCCCCTCTCCAACGATCCCCCCCTTTCTCCCTCCAAGAAAAGACATTTCTGAATGATTCCACATGACAGCAACGGGCACATGACTTGAGATCCAGTGATTATTTTCACACTAATTTTTACTTGTGAATGCTTCTCCTCCCCCAGTCAGGTGAGTTTTTAAAGATGGGTAGACAAATGGAGAGAGAGATCAACAGACAAAAAGATCTCCCGATATGTCTGTTTTCCAGGCATAAACAAATTCACTAAGAAGCTTCGAAACCCCTTTGCCATCGACAATAATGAGCTTCTGGACTTCCTCTCCAGGGTACCATCTGATGTTCAAAAGGTACGTAATGAATGGTCACCACCAACCGGGGCCCCAGCCCCAAAGTCTGGGCTGCCCCACCAACCCCCGAGCCAGAGGAGCAGGGGGCTGTGCTTGTGTGAGTCACTGAGATAATGAATCAGAAATCCTTCAAGAGGCCTAGCTGGCAGAGAGGTGGCCAGCAAAACCTCTGTCCAAAGCATGAGATGATGGAGGAAAATTATCCTGAAAAAGACTACTTAAGAATGATCTGGAACTCACGCTGTGAGGCTGCAGTGCAGAGAGGTTTGTTCTTTTTCTGACTGCTTGCCTCCCCAAAGAGGGTCAGATAGGCTCAGCAAGTGGGAACACAGGAAATCCAGAGCCGGGGGGAGGCCTGCCCATTTTCCTCCTCTTCCCGATGGCAGGCATTCTCCAGGAAGTAGGGGACAAGAGGATTATTCTTTTGATCCTTGTTTGCCCCGATTATCTCCCGGGCCTGCCCCCTCTCCCCTTCTGTCTGAAGACTTAAGAGATTCTGAGGACAGCTCCCACTTACGCTAATGCACATAAAGGCAGAGATGGCGTGCGATCATTTGAGATTAATCAGAAGTATTACTCACAGGTAACGGTCCCTTAGTCCAGCAGTGTCCCGTTTCTGTGGATACGTAGAGATTAAGCAAGGCAATAGCACCAGAAAGTTTAGAGCAGACTAATTCAGGCCCCCGCTGATCAGGCTGGTGTAAACCCAGAGGAGGGGAGGGCAGGCAAAGGTAAAGATCTCTCTAAAGGAGAGCAGGTCATAGAATAGATAGTTGGGGAGACAGTGGCATGAAACATCATCAGGACGATCAAAGACACAATTATGTGAGAGAATCCCAAATCAAACATTAATTTCATCCTCAGGCCAGTGTACCGCAATTCATTTCCCAGCACCTCTGGGTGGAGTGCAGAGATGTAGGGTTGACAGGTGCTTCTTTCCCCTTCATTCTGAATCCTAGAGATTAAAATAGACCCTGTGTTGCTTTTTTTCCTTTAGCCTTCATTTAATGATATAATTATCTATTAAAATATATTCTATTAATATGAATTTAATGGTTAACATTGCATTACAGGATTGTAAAATAGTAACTTGGCCCCTGTTTGTTTTGTCTTGAAGATTGACAGGCATATCATCCCCTTGGGGACCTTCACAAAACAGCACTAAGGGAAGCATGCCTTTTTCACATATCTGCTTTCCACCAAGTGTAGCTCAGCTTATGTGATGGGGTAGGATGTCCCTGGGGGATTTGGCACAAATACTCAAAATAGTGAGCACATGTGGTCTGTAATACAATACTTTGCACAAAGCCATTCCACAGCAGCCTATCCAAGCCCACACACCAAAGCAATGTGATTGCAACGTACCATCACTTGAGTCACAATGTGCATTTGTGCCTGCATCCTTGAAGAAAGGAAATTCCCAGCAAGGCCCCCCTAAGGACTGTCTGTGCACAGTTTGGGGACCAACCCTCAGTGAGATCATCCAGTTGGCGCTGGCATGAAGACTGAGGATGCAACAAAAGAGCATTCGAGAGAGATGCCCAGGAAGCTAGTGAGATCTGCATGTATCTCCAAGAACACTTGGTAATAACACAATAGGCAGTTTGCCACTGGGGACTCCCCACGTGCTCGTGTTTGTCGCAGATGTTTTAGCCATTATACAGTAAATGAAATCCATTTTGAAGAGAAATCTTTATTAGTCTGGGGCTAGTATCCATTTCAACATTCTTTCCCTCTCTGGCAAAAGAAATGGATATAATTGGCAGAAGTTTTTTTCCCCCAAGATTTTAGATACTTCGAAATGAATAATTCGTAGTAAGTTGCTGTATCATATACTAAGATAAACATTCCCAAAGGGCCATTATTAAGCTCTTTCCTGGTCGAACACGGGCACACACACAACTGAAATCTAGCAGTGCCCCGAGAGCAGGTAGAAACCCATGCATCTCATTAGAAAAATCTGCTTTTAATATTTTGGTTTCAAGAAATGATGCATGACTCTTCAAATCCTTCCTGCAATTAATCCCTCCATGTTCCTGTGTTTAGAAAATGATTCATTACCTTTGAACCTTCCTGCCTTTGCCGTGCCGTGTCCTCGGGGAGCCATTAACACACTGTGGTGAGCTAGGGTTACCTAACCGCCAGCGCCACGTCTGCCTGTTTTCACAGGTGCAGTATGCGGAGTTGAAGCCGGGCGGTAGCCAGAGCCCCATTCGGAAGAAGCGCAACGCGCTCTAGGACACACCCTGACTTTGGACGCCAGCAGCCGATGGCGTGTTGGACGGATGAGACCGGGTTCTCTGTCATTCGGTGGCAGCCGTGGTGTCTTTCTGAGATGTGTGCCGTGTGGAGCCCTGTCTTTACCCTCCCCGTCTTCACGGCATAGATGCACGTGCCCATGGGCGCATCCGTGCGCAGGGGTGATCGACTTGCGTCTGGAGTCAGCCCAGCGAAAGGAAACACTCCAGAGACTGTAAAAGACCAACATCCCTTCTTCCAACAGGACATTAAAGCAAGCGTCCACGGGTCTCAGCACCCTCCTTGAGAACAGCCAGGAGGCCACTTAGATGCCAGCGTGACTTTGAACTTGTTTTCGCATCTCTGACAGTTTCGCATCAAGATTCAGTGACGTTCACTTGCACCCTCACCCTCCTTTCAGATGGTTGTTTTTTTTTGTTTCCCCCTCTGAGTTAACAAGTCCTTGATAGCCACCATCTACCCAAATAATGTATGTTATAAATAGATTTTTTTTTAAATTATTACCTGGATCATCCCAGTTCTTTGGGGATCTTTCAGCCATAACAACTAAAGACCTAGATGTAAAGTTTCAGTAAGCTGCTTGGTGCTGGATGCCAGCCTGCCTCCTGGTCCATTGCTGCCAACGGACGCTCTAGAATGTTCTGAGAGAACATTCACCCAAAACATGAAGGACTCAGTGAAAATATTTGGGTGCTTCAAATAGCCATTTCTTCTGATGTTACTTTTTGCTTATTTCCCAAATATAATCTCAGTAGTATAGCTTGAGAAAGAGGGGAGGGGGTGAATGAGTGAATTCTGAGAGTATTTAGAAAGACTGAGGAGCAAGGGACCAATGAATGTGGCTGCTTATCTGAATGTCATAATCCCTTCACTTGCCTGCACTTTTAAGAAAGTAAAAATGCTGTAACAATCCACATGGCTCTTTTGTTCCTAAGCAAAATAAGCTACACATAATAAAAACATATATCTCAGAACCCCATTCCTAGAAAGGTACAATCCCCAAAGTCTTTTTGAGTATACCATACTGTCCCATTTCACTGTAACCTCCTCCAAGTAAATATCCCAATTTTTGTGCATATATAAAGTGTATGCAAATATCTTTCTGTTCAAATTATATTTAAGTTGTAAAAACTATATTTTGTTGACACATACTTTGTATGTGCAGTTTTATATGTATATATATATATATGTATGTATTGTAAAGAAAAATTGAAGTAAAAAGATCTGATTCAATAGTGAGTTTTACTGGGTTTTTTTTTTTTTTTCTCTCTCTCTCTGGGTTGTAATTTAATAATCTTCAAACAAAATGTTTATGAAAAATGCCAAAGATTCTAAACCTTATCATCCTGTGTCTGTTTTTCTTCATATTCTATCTTCCTGGGTTGCTTTCTCGCTGAGCCAGATTTCTGCATGATTTGATTTACTTCAAGTTAATGAAGCTGGCTGAAAAAGAACCTTGCAGAAATTATAAAAGCTCCAGTAAATCTCTGAGTTGTACATACAATAGATACCCAAGAACCTCTTTTGTTAAACCAGTTACTCAATCTTCTGTGTAAACAATGCCTCATTGTCTCACTCCCAACTACCATCCAGTTTATCACAGTCTGTCATTTTGTAATGACCTAAGTCAGACATTTTTAAACAGACACGTGAGATCTGATCAGTCATTTGAATGAAAACTTTCAGCAGCAAAATAACCCCTTATTTATTCACAAGTGGAACCAATACTTTATTGTTGCTCTTTTCTATAGAAACTCAAAATGAAATAATTCGCCCGAAAAGAAGGCGTCATTAGTTAGACTTATTTCTTCTGTAGTCCGCTTGGAATTTTCAGCATTGAGTTTAGGACACAAATAGCAGCTGAGATGCAAAAGCAAGGACAGAATCGACCTTTAATAACTTTGTATGGAAAACAATTGTTAATTGATTAAGTAGTCATGGGATGTTAAAAATGAATGTTATCTGCAAGTGAAATGTTAAGATTCATACAAGTTGTCAAATGCCATATGAAAGATTTGGGGATGCTTTGTAGATAAGATTTATGGGGTATGGTCTTGTCATGTGATAATTAAACATAATTTAGTAGGAATGTTGAAAGCCGGACCAAACTCTCCTGGTTCTCTTCTCAAGCCCATCCCCTACCCAGCCTGGATGTCTTACAGGCATCTCTTCTTCAGCAGGTCAGGAATTTAGCATTATTCCTGTATTCAGGACCCCGAACTCCACAACTTCCTACTAGCTTTGTTATTTCCCTTACTGGCACAGGCATCTTAAGGTTGGGAGGCCCCTTGTTGTTGAGGTCTAAGTTGTATTCGACTCTTTTGCAAGCCCGTGGACCACTTCTCCGGGCTCCTCTGTCCATGGGATTTTCCAGGCAAGTATACTGGAGTGGGTTGCCATTTCCTTCTCCAGGGCATCTTCCTTGGCCTCTTTTTCTTTTTCAGTCCTCATGCCTTTTTCCTGTCTCCCAACCTGTGCAATCTGGTAGATCCAGTGTTGGAAAGTCATCTTATCCATTTCTGATCACAACCACCCAAGCCTCTGCTCAATCTGAGGCCTCTCTAACCTCTCCCAAGTCAAGGTAACTGTGCCAATTACTTTACGCCAGGTCAGTCTTCATTCAGACTATGATTTTCCCTTGAAATACTTTCTCCCCAGTTTCTATCCAGATTAATTCTGCCTGCCTTCAAAACATTCAAAAGTCCCCTGCCCACATATGCTTTATTATTAGTTTCTTGGCTGTGTTGGAGTCCACTGTTCTTGTTCACACCCCCTCATCTTACATGTTTCTGGCATCTGCTGTATTCTGCCATGACTCATAATTACCAGGGACCTTAACTCCTGCCTTCCTCTTCTTGGTAGCCCATCCTACCTGGCACCTAATAGACACTTAGAAAATACATGATTAACAGATCAGGTTATAGAGACCTGTTCTTTCTCTGCCCTTTCATGTGTGATTCTCAGAGGGCTGAGCTGGATAAATGAGTGTGGTCTATCCCAGGAAATAATTTCTTGCATTAAGTGCACAGCTTAGATTATGACATTATTTATAAACTCTGGCTGTGTTAATTATAAGCTTTTAAATTAAGCAATGTCTTATATTTGGAGAAGTCCTTACCTCCATGTCAATGGAAAATGTTTATTTGTAGATGAATCAAAGCTCTCGGTTCTCTTCTTAAGCTCAGTTTTTGATTCTTTTATCATTGAACAAACATATTGAATGCTGATGATACACTTGAATGAAACAGAGAACATTCCCTTAGTAGAGCCAGACATTAAACAGATATTTTTAAGCAGGATCATGGCATTACATTCTCAGAGTCAACTTTTAAAAAGAGCATTCTAGCTGCAGTGGGTATATTAGTAATTATGAATGTCCAGAGACGAGCCAGTTGCAGGGCTGTGGATAAGCTGATGGTAGGCTGGACTTTCAAATAACAGTACCAGAAAAAGAAAAATACATCAGTGAAATTGGAGAGAAGTTATGGGATTAAAGTGAGCAGGACTTCACAGTTTCTTAACTATGGGGTGAGGGAGGGAGGAGGTAGATCAACGATAGTGCTCAGTCCACTTGTCTCTGGATCTAAGAAGATGGGCTTGCCTTTGAGCAAGAAAGAATTATAAGAGCAGCCAGGGAAGTAACTGCAGGAGCCCAGTGTTAGATAGTGTTGAATTTGAGATGCTTGAGAGCCTCCAAATGGGAATGTCTAAGAGGTGACTGGATACATGAATATGGAGCTAAAAGAAGAAATGTTCTGTACTTTAGGTACACTTAAGGACCAACAGTAACAGAAAATGAAGTTACATGCTTCAAGAGATTGAACTCAACACTCATAGTCATATATATACATATATATATATATATATATGTATATATATATAATCTTTATCTATAGATTAGTTAGCAAAGACTGTAAATAGAATAAAATTAAATAGGTAAGCAGTGAGCACATTGCCATTGAATATAAGGTGGGAGCATGTTTCCAGAAAGCAGGTGTGGTCCATAATGCTGAATACCACTGAGCTCCTGTAGGTTGAGGACAGAATAATGAGCTTGAAATGATGTGGCAGTTGAGAGGAACTTGACAATGAGTCATTTCAGTGGAGTAGTAAGAGGAAACACCAGATAGTGGTTGACATGTGTGGATGTCTGGACACGGAGACTGGATGGAGGTAACTCTGAAAGTTTCACTGCAAGAAAGAGAGAGAGAACAGAGATTGGGAATGAAAGAAGGTCTACAGGAAAACCGTATTAAGAAAAAAATTGCATGTGTCATGAACTCAGTGTATATGCATCAGCTATAAAAAATTCCTCATGAGTATGAGATGAAGTTGATTATGTTGTTGCTTAGTTGTTAAGTTGTGTCCGACTCCTTTGTGACCCCATGGAAGGTAGCCCACCAGGCTCTTCTGTCCATGGAATTTCCCAGCCAAGAATACTGGAGTGGGTTGCCCTTTCCTTCTCCAGAGGATCTTCCAGACCCATGATCAAACCATGCATCTCCTGCATTGGCAGGAGGGTTCTTTGCCATTGAGCCTGGGAAGCCCTGAAGTTGACTATATTCATTATTTAAAATTATATTCTGTCAAAACCCACCTCTCCTTTATGTAGTATTAATCTAACTTTTATAGCAAAAGAATGGCTGGAAAATTGAAATAGAATATTCTCTGAAAATATTATGAGTAGTCAATTGATAATTGAATACAAGTCAAGGGTGACTTCTAAAGTATGGCTTAAAGCACATTACCTCTTTATATCGGTCTTCTTGTATAAAACCTGCCATTCTGTTCTGGCATTTTAATGTAATGATTTACATGGAGAAAAATGGATGGTCAAGCACATCAGAATTGTTAACATTTTATAGCACTTATCAAATGCCAGATACTTTCTAAGTGGTTTAGATGTAATAGCCCATTTAATAATTTTTAAAAAGCAACTATGATATTCTTCTAAATACTTATTTAAAAAAAAATACCAC